CCTAAGTCAAAGAGGAGACAATGCCTCCCCAACCAGCCCGTCTCACTGTGAGACGTGCAGGTGGGACTAGTTCAGGCCTGATTCTCTCCGGTGATCATTGAAAACTGGGGAGTGTTCTACTAGTGTCTGTGCCCAGCCAGGGGTTACCATGGAGGAGTGTGGCTCTCTCCCTCAGAGACCATGCCTCTGCCTTGGCCACTCTTCACCCCTGGAACCCCTGCAGGTCAGGTCAGGTTCCCCCCATGTTCCACAGGATTGGGGAGGTTTCTCTCCCAAATTTGACCCCAGTGGAGCCATCACCACTGCCGGGGGTGGTGCTGCCCATCTGGCGTATTGCTGTGTGCAGGCCACAGGAGCCAGGTGGGGAGCCAGAGGGTGGGGAGCCAGAGGGTGTAGTCTCGAGGCATCTCTTTTTCATGAGATTATATGCAGTGATGTAGCCTCCACATTTAAAAAAAATTAATCAACTTTATTTTTTAGGGCAGTTTTAGGTTTATAGCAAAATTGAATAGAAAGTACAGAATGTTCTCTTATGCTCCTCCCCCTCCACAGATACACACAGATTCTCCTGTTATTAGCATCATGTGTTACTCTGGGACATTTGTCACAAGGATGAACCAATATGGGTTCCTTATTATTAACTGAAGTCCGTGTTCTACAGTAGAGTTTGTTCTCTGTGTTATGCAGTTGAGAGGTTTTGACATGTGCGTAAATGGAATGTGTCCCCCATTGCAGGGTCATCTGGAGTTGTTCCACTGCCCTGAAAATGCCACATGCTCCACTGTGCCTCCTTTCCTCTCTCTCGTCTACTGTCCACATTTTACTTAGGCAAAAGTAAAATGAAAAAAGAAAGGTTTCATTTCTTTCTTTTTCATGAAAAAAGAAAGGTTTTTTTTTCTTTGACTTTTTATTTATTATACAAGTAATGCTAAAAATAGTAGAAATTTAAAAATAGGAGGAGTTATCTTTTCTCCTGATAGTAAATTGTCCTTATCTGGCCCTATTTTTTCCAGCCAACATCTCATAATCATGCAGCATGTAATGAAGTTTCTGTTGACAGTGGGCCACATGTGCGGTGTTTCCCTAAGATTATAATCCTGTACTTTACCTTTTCTATGTTTAGGTATGCCGACATTTGTGATTATGTTACCATTGCCGACAATAACCTGCTGCGCAGTGTGTACCCTAGAAGCAATAGGCTATACCACAGAGCCTAGGTGTGTAGGAAGCTGGACCATCTAGGTGTATGAGTACATTTGGGATGTTCAGACAACAACAGAGTCTCCTGATGACACGTTTCTCAGAGTGCATCCCTATCATTTAATGATGCATGAATGTAGACATGATTCTTTGTGAATTGTGGAATGAATTATCCACGGTTATAAGTCAGTATGTGGCTTCTCCCTTGTGTTTATCTCATTTCACTCCTCTATAAGCATGAAGAGTGGTGGGTTTGGTGATCTTAACAGTTAGTTGTGCAATCACTTCCTGGGAAACAGGATTGATATAATAGGACACTAGAAGATATTTGCAAGTAACGTGGCATTTAAACACAGAAACATTCATAATTAATGGTAGATTTACTTATCTCATGAATCCACGTACTCCAGATTCAGGCCCTGTCTCCTCTCTGCCTAGGTTCATGCCGGAACCCAACCTGCCCCCCTTGCTGCTCTATGACACCGCTTCTCTGCCAGCAGGGGCAGACTCCCAGCAGGTGATCAACATTGACCAGATCCGAGAGAGGCTCCCTGAGCTCCCTCGTGTGACACGAGAGAGGCTTGTTCAACAGTATGGGATGAGTTGGGATCACAGCTTCACTTTGCTGGTAGGTATTGATCAGATGCAAAACGAACCATCTCAGCTGACTGGGGATTGCTCTGCAGAGGCCCCTCCATGCACGGAGGGCTGCCGTGGGCCGCGAGTGGAGTGGGCTGGTTTCTTCGGTTGTACTGTAGATGCTGCTGGGAACAGGGCACAGCGACCTGTGCTCACCACCTTGTGGTAAATGTCCTCACGAAACCAGAAAATGAAACTCCCTCTCATATTAGTTGCTGCTGCTTTGTGGAAACAAATACCTGCTCGCAGTAGCCATGGAGACTTTTTGAAGACAGTCCAAATGTTATAGATGAGTATTTTCCCATGTGTCTGGAGGACAAAGGAAAACCAGCGTATAGGGTTTCTAGATGTCTAGCACTATTGAACCATGACAGGGTCTGGCAGGACATTAGGGTCTTGAAAACCAGCCAGTTGTTTCACCAATTATAGAAGAAAACCTTTATTCCACACGAAATGCGGGAAACTCTGACTAAAACATCAGTCCTTTGAGGCTCGGGGATACATCTGAAGGGGCCTAGAGAGAATCTGACACTGCCAAGATCTGCTTAGGGATTTTCCATCCTTTTCAAAGCTACTTAGGGCTTTGCAGTTGTCTTTGTCATGGCAACATGAAAGTGATACGGCGTCAGTGAGCGTAGCATTTTGTCACAGTTGTCTTGTTCCTGTCTGTTAGGGAGGAAGTGGAAAGTTTCACTGCTGCGTCTTTCAGGGAGTAGGTAAGAGCCATGCTCATCTTTGGGAGCAACAGAATCTCTGGAACCTCTGGATTTTTTCCTTTTTACATGACCAATAATAACTACCTAGGGATGTTAGAACATGCATACGTGTATATATATTTATATACTTTCGTAAAGCAGCATAGCAGTTTATACTACAAGGTGTGTTGAATGGATGCTTCTATCTTTAGTATCCATAAATCATTTACTTGAGAAGGAGAGTTGATCAGTGCTTCTTTTTTTTTGTAGAGACAGAGTCTCACTTTATCACCCTCGGTACAGTGCCGTGGCATCACAGCTCATAGTAACCTCCAAGTCCTGGGCTTAGGCGATTCTCTTGCCTCAGCCTCCTGAGTAGCTGGGACCACAGGTACCCACTAAAACGCCCGGCTATTTTTCTGTTGCAGTTTGGCTGGGGCTAGGTTTGAACCCACCACCCTCGGTATATGGGGCGCCCTACCCACTGAGCCACTGGCGCCGCCCGATCAGTGCTTCTTATGGGCTGCTGTTGTATCTTGTTCATTCCTCTGTGGTGATTATATCACTGTTTTTTGTGTTTATGTATTTATTTATTTATTTTAGAGATGAGTGTCTCACTCTTGCTCAGGCTGGCGAACTCCTGAGCTCAAGCAATCAACCTGCCTTGGCCTCCCAGAGTGCTGGGATTATAGGTGTGAGCCCCAGCATCCAGCCTGTGTCACTGTATTTTAATTAGTTTGTCTTATAGAGCATCTTGAAGGCAAGGACTGTTTCATGTTGCCTGTTACTCAGCACAGCCGTGCACACTGGTGGTACTTCGTGCCAAGTCCTTGCCTGTGAACCAGCCCGTCAGCGCTCAGTACACAGTGCTTCTGTCCCCGAAGCGTCTCACAATGCATACATTTTTCCCCAGGCCGAGGTAAAAAAAAATTGAGTTCCACCCTTAGACATCCTTCCCATCATCTTGACCACTTGAACTTCCAGCCTACTTGAAGTGACTACTGAATTTAAAACGAGACCAGAATTTAAAACCATTTGCCAGGTCACACAGGGGACTCAGGCTAGTCAACCTCAAAGACATCAGTCCCCTGTCTGCACGTGGCATGAGGTGATGTGAGATGAACCAACATTTCTTGGCTATTTCTTTGTTCAGGGCTTCACTGTCATTTCAGACAGGAATCCTCTAAATATAATGTTAAATTTATTTATTGTTTTTGTAAATCCACTTTCTTAATAAGAGTACTGAAAGGATCTTTCAGAATCTCCTCTCAGGAAAATGGCTCTTTCTGTTCAAGGCCCTGTCTGAAAATACCTGCCCCCTTCAGATTTTCACCTGGGGCCTTTGATGAGCAGGTGAGGACAGTGATCACCTCACTGAGCATAAGCTCCACGAGGGTAGGGACGTTTCTACATTCACGTTTGCATCGCAGTCTTCATGCATTTGTCCTTTATGGCACCAAAACCTAGTGTACCTTGGGACCAATGTTTGCTAAGGGCTCGCAAAGGAGTGAATCTGTGTTTAAGGCAGGAGACCTACCTTTGATTATTTAGCACTTTTATTAGTACCTGTCTCCTGTGTAGCAGCTACTGAGACAGGGATAGAGATGATTTTTTTTTTTTTTTTTTTTTTGCTTTCTAAGAGTTTTTGTATATATGAGACACTGTAGCTAGCCGGCCCCTAGGACAGACTGCAGTAGATCTAAATATAAGTTAAGATCAGAGCCCAGAGGAGGTGGCAATTAACTTGATTAGAATGAGGAAGGAAAACTTATAGAAAGAGGTGATTTTTATTTCTAGCCATTTTTGAAAAGCCTTCTTTTTTAATACCTTGAAAACATGCTTACTTTTATAGCTTGCAGATAATGTATTGAGTGATTAGTTGATTTGTTATTTTTTTTTTTAAGGGCTAGCACTTGAAATTTCCAAGATGAGTGAGAATAGAATAAGATGGAAATGGAAAGAGAATGATTCAGACCAATTATTTTCCTGAAATTAGGCAGCCTGAGTCCTTTATGACTTTGTAATCATTGGAAGCTGAGTTACTCATAACATATCTGCAAATGATATGTTCATGTTTTTTCCTGTCTTCATCAGAAACACAACAGATTGCTGAGAAGGGCAGATGCACAAATCTAATGAACCATCTTTCAATTTAAAGAGTCCCCAGGAGTATTCATTAAATAAATAGCAGTGGTGGAGGTGTGCCTTGCAGAGCCTCACTCCGTGCTCCGTGCCTTCGGATTGCTTATTAAATCAAGCGTTATGCACGTACCCACCCCCCCACACACACACATGCTTTATCCACAAATAATAAAAAACTTGAGAATTTACTCCTAGTTTTTAATTTACTCTGTCATTTTATTGTGCAGTAAGCACTGAATTCGGTATTGTTAACATCCTTGATATTTACAGAACTCTGTCATCATACCTTAGCATCTGCAGTGTCAGCACACAGTGGCCAGTGGCTGGGTGGACAGATGAGTGGATGGATGGGGCACTGTTTCTGGGCACAGGAAATCTGGGAGAAGTAGTGGTCCTGATGACAGCATCCCTGTTTCCAAAGGGCACAAACATAACCACTCTTTGACAACCCTGAGAATCAAGGCCTACTACATGTGCTATTGAACTCCGGGTGAGAAGCCCTGGATGGCTGCTTCAGCCACACTGAGTACTGTGACCCTGGATATCACTTGGTCTCTTTGACTCCTACATCTCACACTGGTTTCATTAAGATGTTAAATCAACATTCTGATTTTCTCTCCTAGACCTTTCTGATAACCCCTTCCCAGAAGGAAACCTGTATTGCTGTTTCTTCCTCTGGCCATGTAAATATCTTGCCCCACCTAAAACTTCAGCCTATTCAGCCAACCTTGCTTCTCCATCTTACATCATATTGCCTTGATTTCTGATGTCATATTTGAAGGTTAAGGAGTAGAAATGTGGAAGCTGAGACCCAGGTATTAGGATTCTGAGAAACCAGCAGTTCTATTAGCATAGCGAGTTCTTCTCCAAGTCAGTAGATCCAGGAATAATTATTAGCATGATCAGGATGATGTACACGGGCATCTCTTCTTAGCCAAACCCTCCCAGGCTGGTCTTTGTGGGGGCATCTCTTCCTAAACTCTGGGCCTTACCTCGCTCGGGGAATTGCAGCCATTTGCCCAAGCAGCACGTTAAACAGCCTTCCCGCGTGCTCTGCAGTTACTTGGTGCTGCTTTTTGATAAACCCCTGACAGCTGTCTGAGGCAGGTGTTGTTGCTGTCCCCATTTACAGGTACAGAAACGTAACCACTTTTTGTTAAGTGACTTTCCCGAGCCCGTGTTGGAGCCAAGTTCAGAGCAGGCTGAGTTGGGGGCTCAGGCTCTTCATTTTTAAGCCCCACTGCCTGCCTGCACATATGTGCTACAGGGTCACACAGAAGTGATGCTCTCAGTTAGTTGCAGTTTGGGATCACTTTCGTTTCATTAGTAGAGAAAATAGAGTTTTTATTTTTGTTGATACTGATGTTTTTTATAGTCCCACTAATGTTTCATAAAGCACAATCACAGAACGTAGATGCATTTAAAAATGTTTGCCACTGCTATTGGTTCATAACGTGCCAGACTGGCCCTATAAATAAACATAAAGTGCTGTCTACTAAATCTGGTGAATATCAGTCACCACCAATGAAAAGCCGAAATCATGTCTTATTTTCCAAGTGGAAAAATTAAGTCTGAAGAAAAGTAATGTAAGCCATCCTCTGCAGCTTGATGTATTTTGTCTCTTAAATTTTCCGCTGTAGGCACTTGGCTCCTTCTGTCTGAATCACAGAGAAGTGTCTCCCGTAATAGTAGGGTGCGTTTGTAGGGCTTGGGGGTGCTTTTGCCTAGGGCCTTGTGTCCTTCAGCCTGGCACATGATAGGTACTCGGTAAGGAATAGAGATGGGCTGGCAGAGAACTCAGCAGATAGAAGGCCCTGAAGCCTCTGGTGTGGGAGATTTCCATGGAGGGATGGCAGAGCGTCCCGTTGTGTTTGGTGAGAGCCGGCCGCACTCCCTATAGTGCCCTGTGCTCTTTGTAAACATAAGTGCTTCAGCTTCTCTATGTTGCTTCCAACCATCCTGAGTAAGTCTACAGGGCAGTGAGTTAAAATACTGACTCAGGAACAGACACTCTTGATTCCAGACCTCAGCTTTTGACGCTTAGGAGCTGAGCAGACCCTGCAAAGGTAACCAGAGCTGTTTCCCTCTTCTGCTGAAAGAGGAGGGATGAGTCACTCGCCCCCAACCCGATAGGCAGAGCTAAACCTTCACT